GAAAATACCGAGCTACTGAAAACTTACACACAAAAAATGTAATTATCAGGAAAATTTTCGACGATCTTGCCAAATTCTGCGTTCCAGCCGAATAAAGAAAAAATTCCACGGACTCTAGAATCTCGAGTTTTTATTTGGCAAGAAAATTCAAACAAACATAAATATCTCCAACTATTCGTAGGAGTCAAGTAGACTAACTTATGTTTTTGCGAAGATTTGCTAATTTACTGTAAACAACATTTCAAAACTCCTTGTGTTCCGTATGGAAAGATTTGTTGACAAAGTTACCGCCACAAAAACACTCGAAAGACTCATGGTCCGTCTGGGCACAGTTTCAAAAATCCTGTATACCATTAAAACAAACTACCAATCCAAGATTTATAGTTCCGTATGTGAAAAATCACGAAGATGAGTAGAAAGCAACGACGAAATCTGCAGTGATGTGTTGAAAGAATGGGGCGACGAGAAGTTTTAGTGGCAGAGTTTGTACAACGAAGCACGAAGTTGCAGTCCCCTGGCTGGGTTTAGCTTGAATATTAGATACCCAAGCCTCCCATAAATATAAACTATGACTAGATATCTCCAAATATGTAAAAGCGGTGGTGTTTCTCAAACAAAAATGACGATACCGACTGAAGAACTTATAGCAGTGTCAATTTCAATGGAATTTAATTTAAGCCTTTAGAAGTTTACGGAAAAGTGGTCTTCAGATCCTTAGATCACTCCCACGCTATTTTCAACACAACTGAAATGGTGTGGGGGTTTTGTAAATCCTACTATAACAAGTGCACTTTTCGTCTTTCATCCAAAAATAGGGTCGAAAATTTATAGCTTGAGACTGTTTCCAAATGTGCTCCAGAGATGTGGCAAAATTTTAGTAAACACAGTACAGACTTATTTTGACCGACTGGAAAAAACTAATGCGAAATTAGTGATGTAGAATTAGGTTTGGACATTGTTAGTGCGTTAAACTACACACCCATTATATATGTTGACTAGCTGACCCCGTGAACTCCGTTTCACCTACAATTTAATTTTGAATCTGCAAAATCGAATGCTTTGAAATCTTGCAGATGTTTTAAACATATGATAAGCATAATAAATTTGTATTCAAAATATATTTACTTATCCCCTCCAAAAAATTGATGACGTCAGCCCAAAATTTTGCCAAATGAATCCTATCTAAAATGTCCAAAATAGGATGAGACTATACTTGTGATTTATCATTCCATTCATATTTTTTAGTTTTGCTTATAGGGGGTGTCTCAAAAAAATTAATCACTGAGTCAATTTATTTTATTGATTGAATCAAGAATTGCAAAACTGAATTTTGAAATATTGCAGACGTTTTGAAGTTACTGTTTGACATGGTGGGTTTTCAATCAAAATATATCTGTTTATCAAGCCCAAAAACTTGAAGACGTCATCTCAAGATTTTGCCGAATAAATCCTATCTAAAAGTGGAAAATATCATCAGTATATTTTCGTAATTTATCACTGCATTCATATTTTTTAGATTTGTTTTTACAGTGACTCAAAAAAATATATGGATCAGTCAATTTATTTTAGTGAATAACTCAAGAGTTGCAAAAATGAATACTTTGAGATCTTGCAGACGTTTTAAAGTTATTGTAAGCATGGTAAATTGTTAAGAATATTTATTTATTCCCCCCAAAAAATTGATGGAATGGCTCACTCGATTTTCGCAGATAATTTTGGGAATACAATACAGTTATTTTTAGTATTACACTGCACCAATCCAAGGTGGTATATCTACGTGTTGATAGTAAATGTTGATTAGGTCATCACAAAATTGTGTGAAGAAAAGACTCAACTCGAAAATGCTGAATATGTTTCAGTATACTTTTTGTGCGAAGGAAGTTCTGTGGAAACAACGTTCGATCAATTTTTTGACAATGGTTGATATAAATAAAACTCAGTAGATGCTCATACTCGAAATACGAAGTATCTACTCGAATATCAAATCAAAATATTTCTAGTTTTTCTAGATGATACTAATACTTCAGTAAGTAACAGTTGATGCTCAAGTAGCATCTCGATACAACAAAAAAGGACAACAGTGACAGTGTTCAACCATCAAGGCAAAAATCGAGTCACCAAAATATAAGTTAGTATGGGGTAGACACCTTGAGATGGGAATCTCTATGGCCAGTGTTAGAAAAAATGCACTGCACAATTTATGAATAAATAAAAGTTAATTACATGAAAAGTTTTCGATATTCCTGCTCCTAATGTGTTTTTCAAACTGAATGCACCTTTTGACGACGTTTCACATTCATGAAAGTCACCATGTTTAGTTAAAATTCACTCTTACAACGATCCTACTGGTTTTCTAAGCTACTTTACAGACAGCTCAGTTATTTGCCACGCCGATGCTCACATCTAGATTAAATGCTCGCAAAACGCGTAGATGTTCAGTTTGTGTCCGGGGAGATACAATGTTTCCCAGTAGGTACTCAGTACATAGAGTAGATGCTCAGGTATATAAGAGTAATAAATAATGAAGTAGGTACTTCGTACTTCGAATATGAGTATCTACTCAGTTTTATTCATACCACCCAATGTCTCGCTTCAATGTTTGATTATGTTGATTATGAGCATAACGCTGATCAACTTCCATATCCGAATTACCCATGAAATAAATCAATGCGGTTTGCACCTGAGGTAGTTCGTCGCACATTTGATTCGTGGACCTATGTGAGGTTCTCGTCTTCTCGGCATTTTAATGAACTTCATAAAACGACACAGAATTATTTTCACAGTCAATCAAATCTGTAAATTTTGTCTTGAGAATTTTAAAATATTGAAAACTTCAAATTAAATCCTCGAATAACGGTAAAGTTTGAGGTTTTGTCAAAACCAACAAAGTGAATATAGGTAAACAGATTGGCAGATCAAAATGAATAAGAAACTTCCGCAATATGTAATTAAATTTAACCAAGACTTTTCTTAAAATAAACGACGTTTCTTTTTTAAGAAAAAACAAAGAACGATTTCAAATGCAATATATGTACTTTTCGCAATCACACGGAAGAATTAGTTTTGTATGACACGTCAGTTAGACGACAGATCCATCAGAGACGCCAACTATTGACAGTAATTCGAAGTGGCGATTCCCATCCAAAATGTTTAGAATTTTTTAATTTTTTACTGTTCTTTTAAGTTATCCTTATTTTTTTTATTTATAAAGCATCCCCGTAATATAAAAAATGTTTCAAATCGGTCAAGCCGTTTTTGAGTCTTAGCGTGACTAATAGGAACAGCAATTGATTTTTATTTTATAGATGATTAATAAATGGGGGTTGGTGGTAGAAAGGTGAAAATTTAGGGTTGTGTGTATTTTTTGATGTCAAATCTTAAAAAAATAAAAATAAAAAAATTTGTCAAAAAAATAGAAAAAAATTTTTTAGGGTGGGCCACCCTTATCACTTAGGGGTTTAAAAAATAGTTTACAACCTATTGTCAGACCTACCGAATAGACATAAAAAATTTCATACAAATCGGTCTACCCATTTCGGAGAAGTTCGGTTACAAACATTGTGACGCGAGAATTTTATACATAATGCATTATTATTTTGGAACAAATTTCATTACCATAAAAAAGGTTCTACTGACTCGACCTTAAAAGATAGACATATGCTGTCGCGGACTTTTCTTTAGAACTTTTAGAAGGGAACAATTTCGTTATACATGATTTTTACGTAACTTTAACCGTTTAAGCAGCGTAAGCAACGGAAGCTGTCAAAGGAGGAATAATTATCCCGTTTTTCCGAATTTTTCATTGCTACTTCGCTCCTAATGATCGTAGCGTGATTTTATATAGCCTATATGTAGATATGATACATGGACTATCCAACACAAAAAGATTTTTTGAATTTGAACCAGTAGTTTCTGAGATTAGCGTGTTCAAATAAACAACAGCTTCAGCTTTATTATATAAGTATAGAAGTATAGATGTAGAAAGTTTTCCTTCATACAAAACGCTATTGACGGATAGAAGGCAGAATTTTCAGAATCTGAGTTAATTGTAAATTGTGCATATTTTGACAAAAATTTGTGCATACAAATCCGCCCTTTACAAAAAAAAGTCCTGAATAGACTATAGAATATTGCATTACCGGCACGAACAACATATACTAGATTTACTAGAATTGGCTCTCAAATTTGTCAGCAAGCAATGCTATAGTTTTAGTAACTAAAAAATATATATTAAGGTTAGTAGCAGTCTTTGGGCGGTTGCAATACCTCAACCAAAGGATACACTGTCATTACTCCTACACCCTTTTCGCCCCAGTTTTCGTCTTTTACCCATAGAACTCAGTTTCAAGCTGAAACAGCGACACGTCCGTCCCCGTCTTCGAAAGTTCCGTAAATGCAGAAATAACCCGCAAACCACCCAAACACATTTCAAGGCCCCCATCTGTGCAACGACACCGCTGCACTCTCAGCCGGCTCAAAAACAAATACATTTATTATCTAACCAGCGCAGCGCGACCACGCCACGGCATCGCCCGGACCAGATTGAGATTGAGACATAACCATTATGACACCTTCGCCATAAATCACGGGCCTACTCCGAGTCCCAGCGCCCAGTCCGCCCAAGTCAGCCCGAGTAAATAAATAAATAAATAAATATGAAGCGTCGCAGGAGCGTGTGACGACGAGACCGATTGAAACCCCGCTCCTGGTCCGACAGTGTCGTCGCGGCGCCCCGTCAAAAGTCCCTGGTGTTGTTGCCGCGGTGTAAACATTTAAATAGACGCAGCCAAATCAGGACCACCGCCGCAGCGTGGCCAGCCCGACCCTGGGCGGCTGGCAGCGGCGTATCTGGTGGTGTTCCAGCGGCGGCGGTGACGGCGGCGGCCTCCTCCACGTTAAAACTGTCACAATATTAGCGAAATCAATAGTCATGGCGCCTAGAAAATCAATCCCGCGAACGAAATGCGCGAGCGGTCAGTTCAAGCGACAACATCACTGACCTTGTATCATACGTTGCGTGGTCGACAGCTTCTGGTTGTTCGAAGACATCTCTTCAAGTAATTTTATACACTTTAAACTATAAACATCGGATTTTCCTCGCACAATAATACACTCACCGTAACACAGCTCTATATTCTACTCAAGATGGGGCGACGAGCGCGGCCCAGCCAGAGCTCTCAGCTGTGCGCACGTCGCTCGCGTCGGATCATTGCTGCTGTGCCGACGGCGGGCGGCGAGAGAGCGGGGGCGGGATCTGGCGGCGCGCGGCGGAACGACGGCGGGCCGCCAGCAGGAAGCGACGGGGCTAGCAGGAGAAGTCGAGCGAGTCGAAGCAACACCGACAGGTGGCGCCACGGCGAAAACTCTGACATAGATAAATAATACTACGTAAATAGAATGCAAACTCCCATTTGATTTTTGGTCTCAATAAAAATAAACGCCCCCTGGTGCCTTGTGGCCGGTGCTAAAGCATGAACTACTAGATGCGTCATTGCTGCATATTTTATAATTAATATTTTATTTTTATTATCACTAATAATATCAAAAACACAAAGTAGAATAATATACAATTTATTAGTATTGTCTACGATTTTTTGACTTTAATTTTTTTTGGTACATTATACAAGCGTTTTGATATAATGCATTTTTATGTGTGGAAACTCTTGTATCGCGACCGCTTAAAATTAAATTCAAACCTTTTACAAACGTAAAAATTGTTAAATATATAATTTTATTACATATTTCACTTTCAACTAATTCCTTATGTTCACAATGAAACGAAAATTTGACATGATGAGATACTATAAACGAAATTTTGTTTTTGATGTTGTCGAAAGATGTACAATTGTTTAAAACGATTCTTGAAATATTATAAATTCTGTTAATGTTTTTTATAAAATCTAACTTACAATATTGCAATTTTCTGTTATTACAATTGTATTCTCTTATACGTATTAATTTGTAACATTGTTCGTCTTCCGAAAAATTGTTTAAAATTTGGGTTTTACAATATTCACACTTCAAATTTCTTAATGTTTTCGCAACCCAGCCAGACACATAACCAACAATACTTTTATGAAGATCTTTTTCTAAATTATATGGAGACAGTTTTGAAATGTACATATTCACGTTTAAAATTTCGTAACTCGTTTCATTTACTGAAGGTTGATTTATGTTTTTATCCACAAGTCTTTTAATATGAAATAAATCCGGTATGTTCGTTTTCTCACAGTTTGCGCCCACTGAATTTGAACTATAAAAATTGCATAATAATAGAGATTTGAAACTTTCCTTAAATTGGGCTGCCGTTAGATTAGTTGCTCGATTTCTTTGACTTCTGATTTTGCCAAAATAGTTTTCAATAACATCTTGATTTAAACATCTAGGTAAAAAATATTTGCACCTGCCCTGTTCTACTAAAATTGTATGTAAATCCACAAAACCTTCTAACGTTGCAATCCAGTTTTTTATACACGGAGGTACTACCATTTTTCCGGCCTCATCGACGAAATACATATCACCCAAAATTTTGATAGCTTCCTTCCAAAAATGTTTATGACCGGAAGATTTAAATACGCCCCCAGAAAATGGTTTTCCGCACCGTGGTTGAAAAGTACTGCCATTTACACTGTCGAAGAGCTTGTCAAAAAATTTTATAATTCGTGCTGTTCCCATTGCCTCGTGTGTTAAACTGCATTCGGCTGTAAAATTAAATTGTAAATGAATCAGTTAATTATTTTTAAATTTGTATTTACTAGATTTAACCAATAGCGTAATAGTCGATGCCATTGAGTGACTCAAAACTTGTGTCGCATAGCACACCTTCATCTTTTGAATTTTTTCCGGAATTACGTGGAGATCCGTAATTTTGTGTAGAGCCCGTAATTCTCCACATGTTTGATCACTGTAGTACGCATCGATTATATGTTTCCAATTTGCAACCAAAATTTCTTCGCTTGTTGTCCACACTAAATTTTTAGTAAGCAGATTGTTCCTAATACATTTAATTAAATGAGGCGTGTCATATAAGGGAATAATTTCTTGATCCCCTAATAAAATTCTTCTTTTAGGTTCCATCCCTTTATGTATATAACGTTGTTTCGACTCCTTTAGCAGAGAATTTATAGCTGCTTGGTTTGGTTGGCCTTGATCACAAATTGTAACCAGAATTTTGAATCCACAATTTTGTATTTTTTCAACCAGAGTTTTTATAATAGTTGTCAATATGTAAGATTTTGTAGACGAAAAAGAAAATGCAAAGTATATTGGCTGTTGCCATTTTTTAAACACTCCGCGAATGAAAAAAACAAGAACATGATCTGCTATCTGTAAATTTTGTTCAAATCCAAAATTTTGAAATCCGAAAAATGTATCCGTATATTTGTCATAGTCTATGTGGGGCATTATGGACATTTCATCAAAAATTAATGCACATATTCTATCTTGGTTATTTAATTTTGAAGCAGATTCTTTAAGATTGTCGAAAATTATTTTGTTTATACCAACGTCTACTGGAATTTTGTTCAACATAGACATAATTGTTTGACGTGAAGGCAGTGCAAAAATCTGTCTCATTTTTCTATAACATCTCCCAGACTGTTTATAAAACATTAATGCAAATAGTTTGGTTTGACATTTCGTCTTTTTAATTGTGATAAACAAAAATTTATAGCATCCTGACTTAAAATTTTGCTTTCTAATTTTACTTCAAATTTGGAGTATAATTTCAATCGTTGGCGATACGAAGCTACCTTAATTTTGTTTCTACGGGCTGTACGCGAAATATTCCTAGAATTTGAATGTAAATTTAGTATTCGAGAAGATTCTTGGTTTAAAGTTTCGTTTAGGGTTTCTCTCGAATTTCGAGATACTTCAGTACAAAATTTTTGAGAATCCAGTATAGAAATAGGGTTTACGGGATCATGGGTGTGTCTTTCGGGGTCGTTCATATTATCTGAAATTATTGTAAAAATTATCTATGGCATTCACTTGCACACAAATATTTACCATGCATAATTTGAATTGTAGGAATGGCAGTATTTTTAAGTTTTTGATTGGGGCCAAAATCCGTTTCTTTAAAATGTACATCGCAAAGAAAATATCCATTTTTATATATTTTCGTGGGATCTAATTTGCCTAAATTTGGATTCCCTGTCCGTTCCAACCAAATTTTAAAACGCTCGTTGTATTTGTAGGGGTTGGGAAAACGATGGCGTTTAATAATTTTAGTGTTTAGACATTTCAAAACACTGCATAGTTTCATATTTTACGCTTTGTTATCACGTATAATCACACAAATGACACTTTTATACTAATCATAAATGACATTAGTTTTTTTATTGTTTCTTAAAATTGGCTGTGGAAGTTGTCGCCAAGTAATTTTTGGAAAAAAATACTTTACTGCTATCAGTGCTATCTCTTATTATATGGCCGGTACATAAGCCTAGACACAAACCTGGGACACGCATTACAGCCGAGTTTGCATTCTATTTTACGTAGTATTATTTATCTATGAACTCTGAAATGTTTTAAAACTGAACCGCTTCGCATCATGCTTTTCCTTTAGTTACCCGTCCGTTGCAGATCTTAAAAATAATACACTTCGGTGTCTTCCACGCTCCATTATTACAGCCGTCTTCATTGGTGAACGGCTTGTCCTCTGCTCCAAAAACAATTTGTCGTTACTCGTAATTAATTTTATTCCTTCAACACAGAATTTCATCACGACATCATCCAGGCACAACAAGAACTCAACAAACTGTTTAATTTTTTTTTGCGCTGCCATAGTTGTAATTGACATTTTACGTTGACACGTGGCGTGTCGCAATGGCAATGAAAAAGAAAAATACAAACGAGGAATTTAAGCTTTAAAAATATAAATTGATTATCACAAAGTAATTACTATTAATTGATAATCATGTATCTAAAGTTATTATAACAAAAAGTGGCTCGAAATTTAAAAAAAGTGCAATTTAAGTTGTAATCTTAAATAGGGGAATTTGTTGATCAAAATTTGGATTTGTAGTAATTTGACAGTTGACACTATTCGGTGGTTTGGTTTACGTTGTTGACGACTATTATGTTATTACTGTTTGTTAGTAGTTCTTGTTAATTAAAAAAACCGTTCAAACTTGACGTTATTCGCAACCTCACGCTGAATCATAATCACAAGATTCTCTCTGATCTGGAGCCGTAAATAAAAATGTTTCCACTGGTAAGTATTTCAGACTTCTTGGGCTTGTGGCATTCTGCCGCTTTAAAAACGCTGTTAATTTATAAAATTTCGAATCATTTATGTTATGTTTGATGCCAAGAGTACTTTTCAGAACTGAATATATTGTCCACAGTGTGGATCTTTCATAATTTCCGACTTAATTTGGAAATAAACCAAGAGCGTCGTTTCAGATAATTCGCGTATTTTATTTTCTTCGCACCACTTGATGAATTTTTGATATTCGGCTTGATATGGGTTTGTGGATTTTGCAGTCAACAAATTTGCAGTTGCTTTATCTGCAATTTTCTGAATACGTGCACGAATTTCCATTTCAACTTTGAAATTCAAAGTCTAGCCCGGACAGATTGACAGATTGGTATTTGATGTATTTGGTAATAAATTCAATACCAATATAATTTCGGTTCAGTAATATTTATTCTTTTAGCGATTGAAAAATGTTATTTTTTCAAAAAGGCAGCGCAAAAAATATTGTATGATACTCGTGTGAAAACTCACTTACATACAGCGCTCGACTGCGTCTCGCGCCGTATTCCCGTTCGTTATGCAATGGACCGTTTTCAACACTTGTAACATAAATAACTATTCAATTTTAATTCTGATTTTACTCCCAATATTTCGAAAACATTGCCCGGTGGACCTAAACACCTAATCTGCCCGTCAAAATCTATACCCTGAATTTTTTCAGAATTTTTTGAGAACCTTTCGGCAATTTGGTATATAGATTCAGTGCAATTTACCGACCAATTTTCCACCAATTTTCATGAAAATTTTCGAAATTTTGCAAAATAAATTTTCTTGTAGATTTCGGGCCGTAGAAGTCATTTCCGCAAACATTTCTTCGATAACTCGATTGGTTTTCCCAGAATCGCCCTTTGAAATATAGATTCAATGCAATTTACCGACTAATTTTCCACCAATTTTCATGAAAATTTTCGAAATTTTACAAAATAA